GCAACGCAAATGCAAGCTAATTGAAACGTGGAATGGCCATGGAATAGTAAGCACAGGCACGAATATATGCAGCTCTAACCAAGAAAAATTGTACAAATAACTAATTATACAAGCATGTGGTTTTATTATACCCTGTACCCGTAGGGTAAAAAGGGTATATTAGGTTTGTGCAAAGTATGTAACATGCAGAAGGAAGCATCTCCGACCCCATAAAGTATATATATTCTGAATCAGCATGACGAGAGAAATCGATCTACATATCCGTCTGTCCGTCTGTCTGGATGAACGCAAGGATCTCAGAAACTATAAAAGCTAGAATAACCAAAGTTGGCATCCAGATTCTCCTAGGTCCCAGAAAGGACGAGTTTGTTTTTTTTTTAATTTTCCACCCCTTCCGCCGCTACAGAATTTCGTCAATAGCGCCCACATTTCAAATGCTACCTAAACCAAACTTTGTACACATAATTTATATATAATTTTATTCAATTCGGTCAATTCTAAGAAAAGGTATTAGCGAAAGAAGTTTACCTGGGTACAGGGTATTTCACTGTCGGGCTTGCTCGACTGTAGCGTTCTCTCTTGTTATACTCTACATCGGTCATCGAATAAGTGATTTCTAAAGCTCCTTATGCTAGCAAGAATGTATCTTCATGAATGCGCAAAGATTTCTTGTTATACATATCCTGTACCCGACTGTTCAAAGGGTATATAAGGTTTGGCCAAAGCATAATGCAAATGTTCATATATTCTTAATCAGCATGACAAGATTATTCGATCTGGGTTATAAGCTTGTTATTAGGCGCGTTTGTGATCGATCATCACTGATTTCGCCTGCTGACTGCTGTGATTTGTGATTCGGATAAGTAAAAATGTCAATCGAAATCACAAAACACAAATCTGAAAAATATTATGATTACTTGATTTAGATTTTTCGATTTTGACACCACATAGTCAGAATTTTGCCAAGACCTTTGCGAAAATATATAAATTGGCAAAACGCACCCCAGCTGTGACTTTTTGACCAAAAATACTAAAATCAGAATATGTTATTGAAACAGTCAACATAAGCGGTCGGCGGAGGCAAATCAACAATAGATATTCAAAAATCACAAATCACAAATCGCAAATCGCGATGACCTGCTGAACGCGCCATTGTTTTAATTTCTATTCTAACTCAAGCTTTAGCATCTGCTGTACTTTTGTTCTCAGTGATTTTATTAATATTAATATTAAGAATTAAATTCTTCATTTAATTCTATGATTTTATTATCTTCTCTTCTACTAAAAAGAGGAGCAGCCCCCTTTCATTTTTGATTCCCAAATTTAATAGAAGGGCTATCTTGAATAAATGCTCTAATATTAATAACTTGACAAAAAATTGTCCCCCTTATATTAATTTCTTATTTAAATATCAAAAATTTATTAATAATTAGAATTATTTAGTCAGTTATCGTTGGGGCATTGGGAGGGCTAAATCAAACTTCTTTGCGAAAACTTATAGCATTTTCTTCTATTAATATATATAGAGAGCTTCTTCCTAGCAGCCAAGCATGTAACGCTCTTAATTGTTTTCGGATAAATGCTGGTATATCAAATGCCAAAAGGAAAAGCAAATGGATTTTCGTAGAGTTTTATTGGAACCATTAGATTAAATGAATATGACAGAAGAATAGCTGTGCTAAGCGTGTGCTTTTTTGGGCTTAAAGTTTATTTTGTAGGCAAGTAGAGTTTATTTTTCAGCAACTAGCGATCAATGTTGTACTATAAGAAATAATATTAAATAGATGAAAATAACGAACAAATTTGACAATAAACCAGCTTAAATGTTGTTAGGAGCCTGGCAATAATTTGAAAAAGAAGAAGTGTTCTTGTACTTATTTATGAGATGTTGGCCCCCAGTAGCATCGTCTACCTAATTGTTGTTCCCAATTCTTTTTTATATATAGGATTTGTTTGTTGAACAAAGTATTGTATTGTTGCATCTCAGAAGGACGATACTGTTTATCGCATCTAAGATAATATGTGGAATTTTTGAAGGAAGGCAAAACCATTGCCGTAGCTTAAGGTTATACTTGAAAATTGATAATCAGTCTCCTGCAGAGTACTTTGCCAGCATTCCCTATCTTTTGATTTTTGCAATCTTTAAGCCGAGAGGCAGTAGCTGCCGCTCAGCTTGTTGGCCAATCCGTCTTCCGTGGCATGCGAGCATGTGGCTGCAATCTTGTGTAACCAATAGTTAGAGAGGAAATAACTGATGATGATGACGAGTGCTTTTGTCCAAAGGATAATCAGCATGAAATTGACACAGTGAGCCGATCGGAGTGATTTAAAGGCTCGGTCTACGAGTCGTCTCTGAGGCAATGTGTTTTTAATGAGAGCCTTTTGGGCCGAGGCCCGTGTGCCGTTTTGTGTACTTAGAGCGACGATAACATCGAATTGACGCTGTCAAATGTGTGACGCTCCGATTGTCTTTGTCACTATGTGCCACGCAACCCCTGCCACAGTGGGTAACCCCCCAACCATACAATAGCTTGGTCGCTCGACCGCCCCGGTGGAAATGCAGATTTTCAGGTTTTCACCTCCACCATCGGTACGGCATTTGCTGCTGATGCTGCTCAGCATATGCGGCAGATAAACATCACATTAGCGTGATTCCGAGCCGATTAGCTTAGCTGAGCCGTGTACCCGTGACATCACGCAGAAGTTGCGCACTCATCATCACCCGGCCGGAATTCATTTTGACGATCTGCTGTTTCATCATTGGAACCATTTTTGCTGCCACTAAGCGCTAATGGGCAACAACGGCAACAGATTGAAGTTGCAAGATGGAACTGGCCCATGCGTAACAGTAACAGTAAGAGTGCCATTAGCATTAACTAACTGGTGATGTGGTCATATACACAAGTATAACGATAGACTTGCGGTAAGATATTGAATACGAGTATTGGATACAAGTAAGTGCGATGGAGTCTGCTAGCATTTTAACTACTAAGTACGTATTGGGTCCGGGCCGAGCTGGCGAGCTGTTGTTTAAATTTTAATTTGGCTCATCGCATTCTTCTCAATGGTTTTTCTTGTTGTTCCATTCTTTCCATTCTTCTTCTTCTTTTTTGGCCGAAGAATAGGAGCAGCCAACCACAAAGCCCGGCCGCCTTGATAGGCAGTGACCAACAGCAAGCGGCGAGTGGGAGTTCTCTGGGAGCGCTCTCAGAAAATTCTGTCCCACTTGCGCGCTCAGCGGGCGCCAAAGCCGAAGCGAGACGGACACTGAAACGTCGTCGCAGTGAGCGAAGCGGTCGGTCTGGAGGCGAGGCGAGGCGAGGTGATGGATGGTAGGGAGAGGGGAGGGGGGACGGGGGAAGCTGTGAAGGGAGAGGATACGTAAAAGTAGAAAGAAAAGCTTATTGTTCGGCGCTTGAATGCCAAACGTAGCACAAAAGCGATTCAAAAGGAATTTAAGCATGGCACACAAAAGCTGAAAAGAGAGTACAGAGGAGCAGAATGGAATAGAATACACACACACACACATATATATATATGTATATACACACTGGCACACAGACACTCACAATGAAGAAAAGCGGAAAATAAAGGAAAGCAGCATAATAAAACTTTGTGAGCACAAAGCCGGGCCATTGCAAAATGAATGTAATGAATAGAAAACATGAGAATGAAATATGTAATAAAAAGTAAAGAAGAAAGACATTAGTACACACACACACACACACACACCCAACAAAGCTCATCCCCCTTCTGCTTACCCACATACACACACACCCACATATACATGTATATTGTACATACATACAAGTACATATGTATGTATGTCTTTGTGGGGAAGTACACACAATAGTTGGGGCTGATAGTTGCTTCTGCAACAATATGCACAAAAGAGAGTCTGAGTTGGAGGCTGAGTTGAAGTCGAAGCCGAACAGAGACGCCGAATCTAAAGAATGAAATACCCGAGTAGTCGGGACTCTTGTCGGTGCCGCCCCTGTTTAAGTAACGGTGGGTGTACGAGCATACATACATACATACATACATACATACATACATACATACATATGTATGTACCGAGTATAGTATGTGCCTGAAAAACTTAACCTGACTCACTAGCAAAATCAGAATGCCAAGTCTAATACGAGCAGCATTTGGCGAAGTATTGCAAGGCTATGGCTTCGTTTTGAAGTCGAACATCAGTCGAGAATCAACGCAACGCATTGCCGGATCCTGCTGCGGTGGCTGCTGTCTGGTGCCTGGTTGCTGGTTGCTGGTTGCTCGTTGCTGGCATTGTTTACGTGACTACTCAGCAAAGTTTTTATATGCTAATTCGCAAATTGTCACCTGAAAGGAGCGTTCCATCAAGTGTGTGGCGGCCTGATGCGTGACCCGATGCTCTGCGCTGCATGTCAAATGAGTGTAGAGCACTCAAAAGGCGAACGTTTCAAAAAGCATTCAAACACCCAACCACCCAACCACCCAGCCACCCACTCGCCCAACCATAATACCAACCAACCTTTATGACGGACGAAACGCCCAAATTAAGGCGAATTCAATTTCATTTACATATCTGACAAAGCGCAGCGGCCTTCAGTCCGCACTCCAGTAACCCGGCAGTAACCCCCGTCCGGGGCTCTATAGCCGTGCCATTGTCAGCATTGGAAACACTTTGACAATTGCCGCCCATAGCCTAATGCATAAATAATAAATAGGCCCATTTGCCTTCGTTTGTTTTGCACAATTTTCGGTTGAACTTCACTAATTTTGGGTCGTCGGTTACAATGCCCGTAACAGGGCGGGCGGTAAGCGCTTTGAGGGGTAACCTTAGGTGGATGGATGAGCGCTCTCAAGCGGAGCGTAGCGCTGCGCTTTGTTATTCCCTTTCTTCAATGAAGGGAAACGAGGGAATCGCTATTTTGCTTCTTAATTTACAGAGTCATTTCGATAGATGTATGTACATATGTATATGTACAAGTAGGTATGTAGGTCGTAAGATTTACCTGATTGAGCAGTCGACTTCGTATGAGTTGCAATTGTCGTATCATCTCGGAGACGGTGCGCTCCTTATCGTGCGTTCCCGAATTTCGCTCATCCAGATTTGTGCCCATTGCCAGAGATCGTTGCACTATTGGCAATGCAGCGTATTCCCTGAAAGAAGTTGAACGAGAGTGGAGAAATAGAAATCATTGTCAGTTAGGACAATTGAGATATAGAGAGAGATCCCGTTACAATATCTAGCCACAACAATGTACATCAGGCAACCATTCAATCAAACAATTCGAACCTGGACCTCAAATGCGCCAGTCAATGCGATCTGTTTTCGAAATCATTTAACAAATTGAATTGGCTTCCGCACATGGACCTTTTACGATGCACCCGCACCCGCACCCGCACTCGTACACGCACAAGCACAAGCACACCCACAGATACCCACAGACAACCGCACACAGACACACACAGGCGCACACAGACACAGACACAGACACAGCCACACTCATAGAGAACTTGTGCCGTTATGTTCTTTTGCCGAAGAGCCCCACCCCTGGCCAATACCTTTCGCCAATGGCTGCCTTCTGATTGGCACTCCCGAAACTGTGGGCAGCATTTATTTTGTTTACGTGCATGGCCGAGGTGGAGGAGCAATTGGGGGAGGGGGTGGGGGTGCTGGTGCGGTAGGTGGTGTAGGATGGGGTGGCCATTGCCGCCCTGGCCAATTTTACATTCGCCGAGTGGTTTGTTGCTCTTTAGTAGCTACTTTGCGATTTCAAATGCCGAACAAGGCAGCAAGGTGGTGCGGGGACTATGTATTGGCGTTCTGCGGTCGTACTCTGACGCTCTAACTATATTCGCCATTTCCGTTCGTGATATTCAATTATTCAGTAACAATCTAAAAGCGTAAACTGAAATTTGAGCAGCGAACCAAGCGGGCGGACGACTGACGGACGACCAGTCGGACGGACCGGATGGGGAAGAGGGACGGAACGTGCCACGGCATCATTCGATAAAATGACGATGCCTTTGCCGCAAAATTATTTGTTAGTTTTGGGCGGTGTGCATTTTTAATGGAATTAGATTCGCTAATTTACAAAAGGAAGCCAAGTATAATCCGGACAACTTCGGCGACGTGGATCCGTTCCGAACTTTCTGCCCGTCAAAACGCTGTAAGCCGAATGAGCTCATGCATACTTATGTACAAGTAGGAGGTGCTGTGGCAGCCATTGAGGCGGACGTATTGAAAACTCGGCGTGCATGGGTCAGTGAGGAAATATGGCAAATAGAGTAATGGCTATCAAACTTTCTCGCTAACTAAATTCGAAGGGGAAAAGAACGTCAGTTTCCTATCATTGAGATATCCTTAGGCACCCATATGGTTAGCTATATTGGACTTAAGATACTCTTAAGATCGATTAGATGAGAGTATGCACATATGTAAGGCAGATGGCGGCTTACCCGATTGAAACATTTGGCTTAAGCATAGCTCCGTGCGACCACAACGCTGACTCACTATAGTCCTCCGACAGGGGCAGAGGGGCCGTAGAAGAAGACACTGCTGTCGCTAGAAATGGTAGCTCGGGCGCCAATCCATCGGGGGTGGAAAGGGAATTTCTGCGCAGCTTGTGGGCCAAACGTTTCACAAGCACCTCATCGCCTGCTGCAGACTGGTCCATATAGTTTGAACACTGCTGTTGGCCCTCCGATTCGGATATGTGTTCTCGCTTCATCTCGTTGCTGTAGTCATTGCTGTGTGTCGTGAAGAGTCCCTCATCGTTTCTGGCCGCTGTCACTGCTGTGCCAAATTGTTGCCCTGCTATGGTTGTCTCTTCTGGAGAGATCACAGGTTTCAGTTCTCTTGATATGGACCACTGCGCACCAGCATCTGCGGTATCTTGTCCACTGCTACAGCAGGAGTGCATGTCCTGGGTTGGCATTTTCGTACAACCGTTGCTCAGACGACCCTTCGTCGTCTTCTTTATGCGCTTTTTCGTAGGCGACTGCGATGATAGAGCATGGCGTACAGACTGTAAGGGATATACAAGTACGGGCTTTAGAAAACTATTCGCCTCTATGGACATTTTTCGGCTTACCTGGCCCACGCTGCCAACCTCCGACTCGGAAGTGGAAGTGGCTCTGGGACTGGCACTTTTTGCATCAGTGTCTGGGTCTGTATTCTCGCTATCACTTGCCGAAACGGGACCAACGGGACCCTCTCTGCCAATGACAAGACCAGTCGCAGATCCATACGTTAGCTCGCACTCTATAGTAGTCCTTGTCGCGCTATATCCGCTGCCATCGCTCTCATTGTTGTTGTTATTTAGAAATTGTTGCTGCATCTTTCCAGGCGACAGGGCGCCTTCGTTGAGCTGATGTCCGGTGGTCCCCAAAACGCCCGCCTCTAGACCTTGAAAGCTGTTTGCATCGATATCAAATTTGTTGGGCGGTGATTTGCGTTTTCCCGACATGCTGAAACATTCGGAGGGTTGAGATGAGCATTCAAAAGAAACGTGAACAACAAATAACATCAACATCAATATCAGCATCATCGCTTCAACAAAAGCACGGACTATGCCAACAGTCGCCGTCTAACGTACTTGCTATAAGCTACATCCTACTCGTCAAATACACAAATATATACCAGTCCGAAATGCCGAACTTGTTTCCGCAACTTTACAAATATTTTCCGTCATTTGCAGCTGATTTGGGAGTCAAAAGCCACCGGAACTAACGGCAAATGCCATACACACAAGAAGCTGTTAAGTAGGCGTAAAGCACTTGAGTGCCACAGGCCGGCTATGGACTATGGCAAGAAGCGAGCCGGTCGCATGGGCCGCATGGCTAGCTTTTGTGTTCAGGCACACCATTGAGCGTCGAACATCGAACGCAACCTTCAAGGGTCGACTAACGCGCGAAAAACCAATAAAGCGTGCAAATCTGCGCTCCAGGGGCGATTCAGTCAAGGAAACAGGACAGAGAAAATAAGCAACAAACAAGTGAAAGCACTGCCGTACAGAGTACTCAACTATGGGATACTGTGCGGCAATCTTTCGTAGAATTAATAACGGCACTAAGTACGAGCTACGAGTACAGTACAAAGCCAGGGACAACGGACTTTTAAAAACCAACAATTAGAAAGAACCCTTTAATGGGCAATTGGAATATTAAGTTATTTCTTGTGACTCTAACCCATGTTTGAATCCACAAATGATTGTGCGATTGTATGTTCGCCTAAACTCTTAAATCTATTGGTCTGCAATACTATCAGCACCCGGAACATTTAATGTGAAAAGTTAAACCTATTTGGGGAAGGATGCTATAATTTGGAGCTCATTTAAAACTCTTGACTAATAGGTATATATAGCTAGCTACCTGTTCATTACTTGAACTAACTGAGCTAAGACTGAAATAAATAATGATAGAAGTGTGTGTGCCCTAATAGAAACAAAAACTAAATTAATTCTAAAACAAGTGGAGAAGCTAAAGTCGGGTGTCCCTTGGTCTTATAGTTTCTGAGATATATACGAACGGAAAATCCTCATTATCGGCGAAGAGGGGGGGAAATTAAAAAAATTAAACAAGCTTGCACAGCGCATCTTTGTGCAAAATTTGGTGTCTCTAGCTCCTATAGTCTCTGAGATGCAGGTGTTCATACGGACAGACATGTTATGCTGATCAAGAATATACTTGTATATGCTTTGTGGGGTCTTGTACATTTCATGTACAGAGTATAAAAAATGTCCTTTTGTGGAAATGTGGAATGTGCAGCTCACAAGAAACAAAAGTGCATGATGATTAGGAAACAATACACCATCTTAATGTCTGTTAATAGATGAAAAGAGAAATATAAAAGTCATTATGCACTTCATATCACTGGGAAATTGACAATTTACACACACAGTTAGTTATGTTGTAGGCTGAATGCGTGTCGGGGCTGTAGACATGAATGTCAGGAGGGCCAAACAACTGCTGGCTTTTCGGAGCCACACTAACCAAACTGATCGCGCGTTTATATTTAGCACCCACTTTTCCCGTACTTCCGTTAGCGCGAGGCTCGGCACTTGATCTCATTGCCTTGCGGCCTCAGCCTTAGCTTCTACTTCTGCTTCTACTTCTACTTCTGTCTCTGCCTCTTACACTACTTCTTCATCTACTCTGCTTCTGCGATTCTCCTTGAGAATGGGCGCGCGTTGGATTGAGTGCGAGTCATGACAGTGCAGTATATATATATATATATACACACACACACACACACACACATACACACATACATACATAAGTATGAATGAAGAAACATTTTTGTTTTTCTTAATGAAATGACAAATTATTAACAGAGGAACTCCACGAGGCACGCTCCGCGGTATTTTTGGCACGCACGCAAAAGGCCGGCGACCGAGACTGCGGTGCGCTCTTTCTCTTTCTCTCTCCCCCTCTCTCTCTCGCTCTCCCTCTCTCTCTCTCTCTCTCGTACTCCCTAAGCGGAAGTCGCAATTTGTTTAGAGATTTAAACAGCCCCCAGCATTGAAATTGGCAGCTAAACAGCAACAACAACAACAGCAGAAGCAGCAGCAGCAGCGGTAGAAATATATGGCTTGGGGACCAGCGGATCATTTGATCCTCAACGAGCTGCTGTTAATCATGCTGAACATTTTTCGACCGAATAGTGATGTCCGATACGAATTGATGTTTCAAATTCCAGAACTCAAAAACAATTTTGCAAACACTGACAGTTTCTATTTGGTGAGCTCTGATTTAAAATGTTCAGCATTCCCCAGTTCATTTAGATACGTTTGATTGACACTTTTGAGAGTTCGGTATACAATTTTACATTATATCACAGTATTTTACAATCTAGACATTTCGGAGATAATTGCAGCAAAATATGACTTCGGGATTATTTATTGGTCCACAACTACATGCTTAATAATCATGCTTTACATTTTTCGGCCGAATAGTGATTTGATGTTCAAAAGTCTGGAGCTCTTATTCTTTAATACCATTTTTTCAGATACTACCAGTCTGCTTAAATTTTACCTGATATTTGTGAGCCTGATTTCTAATTATTTCCTTTCATTAGGCATGTTAGGAGAATGATATTCTTGAAAGATCAGTAAGAGCTTTCATATTATATTTTTCTCGAAACTCCGATTTCTCATGAATAGGTATTGACAAATTGTAAAAATCCACACATTTAAAATTAATAGTTTGCAGTACTTGAATGATCGGTAAGTCCATCCAGATGTAAACATTTACACTCAATTAAAGCTGTAAAAATATGTTTCGTTCATATGATATAAAGCTGAAATACTTATATTATGCTTCGTTTTTTTACAACATATCATTCAAACACTTGACTGTGGCAGAAGGAATCCAATAAATTAAGGAGTTGGTGGGTTGCATGGTTCAGTAAAGTTATCCTGCCCGTTGGCTCTGGTAGAGCGCGTATGAGACAATGTTGCAGTCCTCTGGGTAGTGAAGTGCTGGTGTGGGGTGGCAACCCTTTTTGTTTGTGTGACTTTTTGTTGTTGTTTTCTTTATTTTTTTATTGGAGCGCACACACAGACATGACAAGATGCAATACAAAAACAACAAATGATTGTTTTTCCGATTCGCTTTGAACTGAAAATTTTATTTATAATGATGACTTCCGCTGCGCGACTAACAGACACACACACCAATACACACATGCACTCGTGCAGTGGCTCACACGCACACACACACACACACACACACACATGCGAGTCTGCCGACAGGCAATTCAAATATTGACTTGTACACTTACAAATAGCTTCCGCAAATTCACTTCAATGGATTCCTTTTTGTCGGTTTGTGGTTGTTGTTGTCGTTGATGCCGCTGCGGCAGTTGTTGCTGTTGTTGTTGTTGTTATATATCACAAAATGTTGGAAAATATGAAAGCACACAAACACACGCACACACAGTGCAAAGGCGAAAATACGAAATAAATAAATAAATTAGTTACGCTGAATGCTTAAACACACAAACATGCACAAACACACACACAAAAACCCGATGAGCAGAGCACCCCAACCGCCTACACTGGCCTATAACCCAGCGAACCGAGCCCCCCGCCTCGCCTCGCCACTCCCCACCCCCCTCTACCCTACCATCTCTTGAGCATCCTTGCCAGTGCGCCTAAGGCGGCAAATGATGCCCGGCCGCATGCCAATGTCGATGCCGAAGATGCTGCCGAGTTTTCCGACTATATACATATGTATGTATATATATGTATATACTCGTACATTGTGTGTGTGTGTTGTGTGCTGAGCGTTTGGGAAAATGCCAAAGTATTGAATGGCTAAGCGCCAGCCGAACATCTCTTGACACACACACACACACACACACACACACACACACACACACGCGCACAACACTTTCCTGCTTGTTTCGTTCATTTCAGATGATTTTCATTATTTGCCGTTTTTTGCGCCATTTATCATCCGCTGTCGAACCAAGTGCCTACAATTTGTCCGCTCTACGCCCAAACCACAATATACGAGTACTCGCACATACATACATACATACATACATACATACATACAATGCAATACACACATACATACGAAAGTGTAAAGCACATTTGCTTGTACGGTAGCTGTTGGTTGTTGGATGGGGCGGTCAGGGGTTGGGCAGACCTCAAGCCTCAGCAGTCACAGCGGCACGCGCCCAGCCTATTGCCCAATATCCACGAGAGCTCCAGAGTTCAATTCAAAACTTCAGTAATATATACATGGTCGTATATATAAAAAAAAAAGACGAACACCTCCCCCACATTCTCACACCCTCTCCAGCCACGGTAAAAGATCGAAAGGCAGAAAAGTCAGGCAGCAGCGTGGCCTTCAGTGCTTCACCCCTTGCCAGCGATAGCGACTCAAAATATTCCCACTAAGTTGAATTGCATACAATAACTAAATATGTGCGCATGCATGCGAGTGTGTGTGAGTGCGTGTGAGTGTGGGTGTGGGTACTCATGAGTGTATTCATATGTGGCTTGCCGCAACAAGCACGTGTTTCTGTCCGTGTCCGTGTCTGTGTCTGTGTGTTTGTGTTTGTGTGTGTGTTTGTAGCTGAAGGTAAGTACAATAAATATTATTCTTTCCTTTTTAAACATTACAAAAAAAAAGAGGAAGTAAAATACAACACAGAAAACAAGAAGAAAAACACATAAAGAATTCGGCGGGGTTTGGGTCGCAATAATGAATTTTCAATTGAATTCCTCACTCGTCTCGTCACGGAGGCAATGTTGAAGGATGGCAGCAGGACCCAGGCCAGGCCAGGCCAGGACAAGAGCTCAAGTCCAATCCCATTGACTGTTCGCATTGTTTACGAGCCGTCGGCAATGGCTTTGGTGGCGGCGGCTCGCGCACGTGCTGGCATTAAAAATGAAGAGCCCACGGCACTGGCTACAAAATTGTGGGTGGGAGGTAATGGAGGTCGGACAAATATGAGG